GTGCAGGAAACATCTGTGTAATAACGGCATTTGATTGGCTGCAATGTGGCCCTGGAGTGGTCCAATGTCGGTCGTACATCGGTAGCCAATATTCGTCGTGCAGCAAACATTTGGCGTAAAAATGGCATGTGATTGGCTGAAATATGGCCCGATGTTGGCCGAACATTGGCAGCTTTGTCGGCAATACGATGGGCCTTTGTCGGCATATCTACAGAGGCCCAATGTTGGTTGCATACTGGCTAAAACATCGGTAAAACGTCGGCCCATCGTTGGCTTGAACGTCGGGCCGACATTGGAAGAGGTTGCACTTGGCCGAAGAACCGACGTCGGCGCCGATGTTAACCGATATTGGTCCAAGATTGGTCCAACGCCGGCGTGCTGCCTGGGTTGCAAGTCAAATACCCAGATGGTGACTGGGGTCTAGGATTTTGAAAGCACTTAGCGTTGCGGAATGATAAATTATAGAGGCATAATCAAGGCGGGACCAGACAAGGCTTTTGTACAAGTTCAAGAGACACTTCCGATCACTACCGCATGTTGTACGTGATAGGAGCTTTAGGAGGTTCATCGCTTTCAGACATTTCATTTTTACATATTTAATGTGGGGAATAAACGTGAGCTTAGAATCTAAAGTGGTTCCCAGGAATTTATGCTCGCTGCTCACAGAGAGTTCGTCTCCCTTGATCGCAATATTTGGTAGTGGCAGTACCCCTCGTTTGTTAGAGAAGAGTACGCAAGTACTTTTCTGGCTGTTTATTTTAAAAACATTCTCATCTGCCCATTTAGAGAATTTATTCATTCGAAGCTGCACTCGTCGTTTGCATATAGATATATTGCATGATTTCAAACTTATCTGCACATCATCAACATACACGAAATAAGGCATCGCGCATGAAATTACTGACTGCAGGGAGTTCATTTCTACAAGGAAGAGTGTGCAACTAAGCACGCACCCTTGCGGGACACCAGTCTCTTGGGTAAATGATCTAGAGAGAGCATTTCCCACTTTTACGCGAAAGGTTCGATTATAGACAGATAGCTTTCAATTGTGTTTAAACATGTTCCCATGGATGCCCATGGCGGCAAGATCGCGTAGAATCCCGAATCGCCATGTGGTATCGTACGCTTTTTCCAGGTCTAATAATACCGAAAGTACAAACTGCCTATGAATAGATGCATCTCTGATGTATGTGTCTATGCAAACAAGGTGGTCTATTGTCGACCTCCCCTCTCTGAAACCACACTGAAGGGGGTTTAGTATACTGTTACTTTCTAGGAAGTGGATTAAGCGCTGGTTTAACATTTTCTCATACAGTTTGCATAGACTGCTTGTTAACGCCATTGGCCTGTAGCTGGCGGCCAAGGACGGGTCTTTGCCTTGTTTAAGTACCGAGATGACTATCGCTTCTTTCCATGACAATGGAATATACCCAGCTTTCCACATGGTATTGAAGAGGATTAGGAATGTTTTTAGTGCTTTGGGGTGAAGGTACTTGATCATTCCGTACATTATACGATCGCCACCTGGCGCCGAGTTGTTGCACTACGCAAGAGATGCCTTAAGTTCAGCTAATGAAAAGGGGCAGTTGTAAGTCTCCCTGGATGGACGTTTACATTTAAGGGGTTGCCGCTCTTCGCGTTCCTTGACCCTTAAAGATGTTTCTGTATAGTGTGATGCACTTGAGACATATTCAAAGTGTTCGCCTAGGCAGTCTGCCTGCTCCTCTAGGCTCTCTCCTCGGCTACTTACCAAGGGTAGGGGATGTGACTCCCGACCCATTAACTTGTTTACCCTATTCCAAACCTTCGTTTCGTCGGTGTAAGAGTTTATACCGGAGATGTACCTATTCCAACTTTCTTTCTTTGCAAGACGACACCTTCTTCTGGCTTGGGACTTAACCCGTTTGAAATTGACAAGGTTTTCAGCCGTTGGCTAATTTCGGAGTAGTCTCCAAGCTTTATTTTGACTATTGCGCGCTTTCCGACAATAGTCGTTCCACCATGGGATGCGTTGTTATTAGTCATTCCGTTAGTTTGCTTAATACATTTCACTGCAGCGTCAATAATACAACCTGTTAGGTATGCTACAGCATCGTTTATATTAAAATCAGCAATGTCATCTCCGTCTCAAAATGTAATTTCTCGGAACAGTTCCCATTTGGCTGACTTGATGTTCCAACGAGGAAAGTCAGGTGAGCATGTATCTTCTTTTGTTAACTTCAACATAATCGGGATGTGATGTCATGGTAGGATGTCGAGGCTTCACCAGGGTTTTCCAAATCAGAGGCGGGTACCACCGCTCGGCTGACGAATCCTCGAGCATATAGGTGGGCCGCCTCGTTCCCTGGGTTCCCCGCGTGAGCCGGCACCCATACCAGCGCAATGGAGGATAGTGCGTCTTCCTCAGCATCTGTAAGGAGACTGGGCAATAGTAAACGCAGAGTTGTGGGGGCCACAATGCCACGTGCGAAGTTGGATATAGCAGCCTTTGAGTCACTGAGTATAGTGGTGAATCCGGATGCTGCTGCTAGCGCTATCGCCGCTTCCTCAGCTTCTGTCGTATTAAGCACACGGACAGAAGCAGCCGCTTTAATTTGAGGTGAATTGGCGTTGTTGCCGGGGAGAGTGATTACGCTTATTGCATATGCTTTAGTAAACTCTCGGTATTGGGCGGCGTCAACGTACGCAACGGTTGGGTGGACGCGTACGTTTTTTGCAAGAATTTGGCCCTCGCATAATCGGGAAGTGGTCACTCCCAAAGGGGTTCTTGAGAACGATTCACTTCAGATATGGAGTTAATGTACTCGAGACAATACTCAGGTCTATAGAAGAGTATGTGTTGTGTGTAGTGCTATAATATGTTGATTCTTTTTTGTTTAGTAGACATGCACCTGACGAAAACAGCAAGTGTTCTATTAGGCATCCTCGCGCATCTAAATGGGAGTCGCCCCATAGGGGATTATGTGCATTTAGATCACCAACGACTATATATGGCGGAGGAAGTTCATTAATGAAGCTTTAGAATTGTGTCTTCGAAAGTTGACAGCACAGAGGAATGTTAATAGAGGTAATTGTTAGTAGCTTACCGAACAGCACTGCTCGGACAGCAACTGCCTCAAGAGAAGTTGGGAGGTTTAATTGCTTACAGGCAACACCTTTGTCAACTATTATAGCGACACCGCCCGGCGAAGTGGCAGCATCGTCACGGTCTTTATGGAAAATGGCATATTGCTTTAGAAAGTTTGTTTGTGTGGACTTGAGATGTGTTTCCTGAACCCTCCGGGCGTTCAGCCTCCGTCAGCCCTAACAGGTCATCATCTGAAACAGTGCCACGAATGGTGTTCATGGTTCGGTGTGGGGTTACTATTTTTTTTTTTATTGTAACTTTCACATTCGTGTAACACAAAAAACTTTGCAAACACTTGTTTGGTCCCATAGCCTAACTGGCTAGTAGAGGGACCAATTGTGTGACATACCTACATACTTGCGCAAGCGGTTACACAGCGACAAAGAACATCAAACTGGATACAATTCTTGAAATAGAAAAAAAAGCAAAAAAAAAAACACGTGATTGAACTATACAAAGAAACATAGCGCAGAACATAGCTACTTATAGCACAAAATAATAATAGCACTAGAATAGTACTAATCATAATAATAATACTAAATGACTACGCAGACATATTACTTAGAAAGTTCGCATGAAGTGCATGCTTCATGGGCAATGAAAAATTTCTAGCCTCTTTCACATTAGTCGGTATCGCATTCCATATGAGAGCGCCGTGAAATTCTATGAGCCTTCGACCGTAAGCATTTCTGGCTACCGGTAAATTAAAACAGTGATTCGCTGCAGCTCTTGTACAGCGCGCGGGTAATGTAAAGGTGCTTAATGGGAAAGGGTCATCACGTTTTATTATTCCATGCACTATATAAGCAACACTAAACACGTGAACAGAGGTATTAATTTGGTATCTCCGAATTTCACTAGATTAGGCAGTCTCTCATATTGTTTCTGGTCGCGGAGCTCCAACAGGAGGTCACCACTTGCCATTCTCAATGCTTTATATCCTGGGTCAAAGATTCCCGTCAAAGACTTTAAAACTAGAAAAGGTGAAAGTGTTCACACTGGTTTGCCGGGTGTGTCAGCGTGGATAACATGGAATCGCGGAAAATATACTCTCTGGTGACCAAAAAACTGGAAGACTTCATCGGTGCGCCCTCTTTTCTGAGGGCGATCAGGGAGTGGGGGGAAGGAACTAGCCATGTAAATGTTTCATTTTCGGCAGCGGCGCCAGCCACGCACCATGAAGTCCGTCAAGGGGACGCTGCAGGGTCTTTAAGTACAGGCCCTGCAGACGCCAGTTGTACGCCACCACTATAACCGAATATGGTGTATCCAAGGTAGGATAGCCACACAGGTTAACCCTTGCCGCCAGGAAACACAAAAGTCAATGGAAGTGAGTAGAGGACAGGAAAGATTTAAAGTAAGAGAAAAGATGAAGATGTGAGGCGGAGACAGGAAAAGGCGACTGCCGATTCCTCCTGGGCGGCTCAATCCGGGGGTGCCGTCAACGTGAAGCCAGGGTCAAAGGGTTGTGTTGCCGCCGCTGGGGGGCCTTCCAGGTCCAATCACCCAGCATTGGCTCAACCCCCAGGATCCTCTTTTCCCCGGACACGGCAAAGCCACGCATGGCTAGGCGTGGGAGGGAGCCGAAACTCCCCCGTTAGCTCGGGTCCGTGGTGTCGCTACACACCAAACGCCTGCTTGCGCAGACGCCCTTGCGGGGTTACTGTGGGTCTGATTCAGGAAACTACACACACTGTGGTAAACAGACCTGTCAGTACTACATTGCTGCACAGAATACTGCACATAATATTGCTTCCTGTAGTGTCTACATGTATGGAACAATTTCTGTTTCATTTTATAGTTTCGAACATTCGTTGCAAGCACGACTCGCTTCGTTAACACCTGTTCAGAAACACACAATGCAGCAGGCAAGTGATTTTATGCTCACACATTGTTTTATTGCGTTTGCATACTGGTCCCTGTTTATACTGTTTTACGAGTGGCTACAATGCACACTCTTGCTGCTTCAACGGGTCCCAGCACTTGTGTCCTCAACAAGGTGTGACAAAGGCACACTGTTGTTTAAGGCAGAATACTTTTTGGCGGAGAAATTGATGGCCACAGGCTCACTCCTCTGGACTTGGACGGCAAGGCTGCACTCTTGGGTAAAGCTGCATGCAACAAAAAGAAATAAAAGAACAAGGCTTTAGAATTAGAAAAATGTAAGCTCTAGCAAGGGCTCCCATGAAATTATGCATTTTAGGCAGATATGAGACGTTTCGTGAAGTATTGCATTTTTTACAGTATTTTTCTGCAACCTAAGCTTGACTCACTAAGGCGAAATTCAACTTACAGTATTAAACAAAAAAAGGCTGTCTGACAAAACAGGCCTTCATTTACATGCATATAAATAAAGATGTGACCATGTTACCAGGTTACCTTTAATTTTAGAAAGAACTATATTAGAAAGAACCATGGCTGTGAACTGTCTTCCAACAGTTCTTTTGGTTTTTGTGCAATCTTTTGAGTTCTGCGCTTTGCGCAAAACATATTTTTTTGTTGAAGCCAACATTGTGCTTGAACTTGTGTTTGCAGTTTGGTTATGAAGGCCTCGAATATAGTTGAAGTGGAGTGCAGCTATCAAAGTTCGTATTTAGTATGCTACGAAAGACCACTCGCAATACCAGTGCTCAAATAAGCTCAACTGTACTAAGTAAAACACTTCAAGCCCAGGAAAACATATTACAATAGACTCTCAAAGATTCGTTACAATTGTTCAAACTTTTGGCAAATTAAAACAAGATAAATTTTTGCTGGCCTACTATACTTTTAATATGTTTAAAGCTGCTTTTATCCACCTGCTACATTGCACAAATTCACTTAATTCGTACTATTTGTTTCTCCATGCCTAAAAATATTTGCTGCCTTTACGACTTCTAGCTAAGCATTACTATTTTTATGCTGCTAATAGCCGCAAATAAAGCCGCAGTAGTATTGTGTCCACCTGTTTTGTTTCGCGCTATTTTACAAAATAAAGCCAATTGCCAGCATACAACAGCCAAACCAGAGCACCAACAATTGCGCATGGACCGTACCAATGGGAAGGTGCCACCATCTGTCACAACACATGGCACTTTTTGTTCCTCATTTACGAACGCATGTGTGTAGCGCATTGTAACGAGCATCAGTAGGATCACTCACATTTAAAAAACATCGCTGGCAGTCATGCGAAGGTTTCTATGACATCGTTGCAGCCCTGAAAAACGATAAATACTACCACACTGATTGGTATATTGCAGTCTTATGGTATGTTGCAGACTTTTGATATTTTCAACCTCTGGTAATTTGTATGAAATTCAAGGTGCCCGTCAAGTGTGAACTATTGAAAGTCTACTGTACCATAATCTGTTTTTTAATTGTGCATAACAGAGACAGCAATGCGATAAGCGCAGAGTGTTGCAAGCTCGACAATGCCAAGGGTACACAAAGCACACACCCCAAGCAGGTTCCGTGGTAGGTATCCCTCGCGGCCATCGCGGAGCCTTGCCCACCACCAGCCGCAAGGCTGCTCCGTATCACCCTCTGCTCCTCCACGGCGGAGAATCTGCACCATGTCCCCCTGCCCGAAGGTCAGCTCGTCCGGCTGCCGCGCCTCGTAGTCAAACACAGCGTATGCCACGCCTCCGTTGATCACGCCGAGTTTCTCTTGGACACCTGCGTAAAGAAAAGAAGTGGCGTGAAGAGGAAATGATTAGAAGGATGACAAAATTTTAGCCCTTCAAATTTCCTGCCCAATTGATGAGCTGCATGCTGAAATTGGTAGACCAAACTTTGATTTTCGACCTTCATGACTGGAATTTCTCACCCTCCTCTCGGCTTGCTACGTTATGTGTACAAACTCTATCCAAGTGGCATGATATCGAATGCCTAAAGTAGCTGCATATTCTTGTTAACATCCCACGCAGCACATTAACTAATGAATATTTGTCTCCCGATAAACTGAAAACCACGAGGAATCGCCACAAACTCAATCTGACACCATTCCATCCATGTACTAATCTATTTAAATTCAACTTCTTTCTGCACACGACTGAAAAAGGAATATTTTGCCTGGGTCAACTAGATCACTGCCTTTAGATAATTTCTTGAATGAATGTATTGATCCGCGCTTTGTTTATCAAAGTTTTATTGTCAGTTTTTCCCCCCTTTGTTCTTTTTTTTTTTAGCAATGCTGCATTTTGTTGCCTTTTCGTTTGTGTGTTGATGTTGTGAAAACCTACCCCTTTTCGTGCCGCATTGAAGCTGAAGGCAGTCGATTACATGCTAGAGAAAGGCAAGCTGGTTTTCATAAAGGTTGTGCGAAACAATGAAACCAGCCTTCCGAAAGTTCTCTTCCTTGAGAGACATAGCGTAGTACAGCTTTGACTCTCATGAAAGATGCAACAGGCACCCACCGTAGAGGTACTCGGAGCAGCTGTCGAACCCTTCCTCGTCTTCCTCGCACTTGTCAGCAGCCGTCTCATGGTCACTCAGTGTTGCCGCAAATACGCACGCGCCGTGCTCCACCAGGAAGCGCACCATGGCCAGGTTGTTGCAAGATGCTGCACAGTGCAGGGGCGTCCTGCACAAACGGAGACGACCGGGTTTACCATTGTCACCATAACGAAGCATAGACTTGAGCGAATACGTCAGCAGGGGCAAAGTGGCAGTGCGGATTTTTCTTGTTAAGGTGTAGTCACGGTATCGCACCCCTTTGTTGCAGTGAAACCACCTTTACTGAGAGTATACACGTGTACTAATATACACCTTCCTTGATCATTTCGAATACTTCAAAATTTCCAATAGTCTAAATTCGAAGCAAAGTGAATTTGAATACTATAATATTTGCATGGACATTTGAAAGGCTCAAATGTTAAAACACTACAGTATATCCATACACAGTGTACTCTGAGTACACGAAAATCTGTTAGACGGAACAGCTGCTAAACGGAATGACTGCCTTTGATACGATTGGTCTTGTACTTGTGCTCTGCAGCCTTGGTCACCTCTCAGTAAACTGAACTACCCTTGAACAGAACGCATGCTCCTGGTCCCTTCAGGTGCCGTTTAATGAGAGCCTGCTGTACACACACCCACATATAAAAGGTTACCCACCAGCCGTCACTGTCCTGTGCATTGACGTCACAGCCGAATTCAACCAGGAACTTGACAATGTCTAGGTGACCCGCACAGATGGCATTGTGTAGTGCGGTGATGCCCTCGTCGTTAGCTGCACTTGGGTTGGGAACCTGCGCATGTTAAGAGGTGTGCAATGCTCTGGCCATCACTGCAAATATTATTCACAAAACTTCACATTAAAACTGTGCTTCAAACACTTCTCTTGTGGCAAAACACCAAGGCTGGTGGTCACATTTTACTATGTACAGCGTTCACAGATTAAAAACAACATCAACACTTTTGTCATAATGACTATGATGTGCGATTACTTCTGATAACTGCACGATCTCACCACGAATCTGGCCATTAGAGGGGCCCTGCAACACTTTTGTAAAGGAACAAGAGCACCATGTTTGGAAACTACAGATGTCAGTGTCGTTCGAGAGCCCTGCATGCAGAAGCACTTGTGGCCGATTATTAGTTACAAACTTTGCCTATAAGATAATTCAATTTATTTTGTAAGCAGAAGGGCGTGCTCATCTGAGTGTTCGGGTCCGATCTATAATTTTCGTGGTTCGACGTAAACTCGTGATGTTGCAGAGGTCAAGCAACTATTGTCGGCGTCGGAGAACATCTGTGTTTTGCGCACAATACTTCGACTGGCATCCGGCGAGGACCATTGTTCGTTACCACTATTGCTCTGTGCTTAGCTATTGATAAGGTAGTTTTGCCTCCTTACGCCAGAAATGCTTCTCTTTTCGATGCGAAGTAACTTCGGGTCGTGCACAATCCTGTGTGTGGCATGACCACCTGTACTGCGCATATGCGACCGATCTTTCTTTCTCTCCTTTTTTACTGTCCCCTTCATTGCGTCGCAACGCTGATGCAGGGAGCATCTGCTAGCGAGTTTCTTGATTGAAAAAGCCAGCTACTCCCGTTGCACAACAGTTCACTGACCACCTCGTATATATAGGCACTGGATCTTGACCTCCACAGTAGTGCCGATGGCAGATTTCTCTCGTGCATTGTTGCACAAAAACGTTCGCATTGCATGCGCTAAACTAAAAGCCAACTGAAAATCTTTGTGTCCAGTCGGAATCTTCTGTCTCTCATTGCCCATTAGCAGCGATTGACGTGTTCTAGCAGGAAACATTGGTCCATCACTGCGTCCTTTGCCCCTCCCGTTTTCGCTCTTGCGCACCGCTGCGATGAGGCACCAGCGTCAAAGTCACCGCCAGTGTAAGCGTTAGCGCCTGCTGCTTTGAATCTACATATGGTTCCATTTAGGCAGATGATGTAATTTTTTTTATGACGGGGACACGCTCAAAGCACCCTCATCGTTTCATTCTTCATCACCCATGGGTCTTCTATTTGAAAACAGTGCGGTCAGCGTCAATGAAGCTTGAGCGCACATAGTCTCAGGCGCTGCCCCACTAATAATATTAGTGTGTGGGGTTCAACGTGCCAAAACCACCATATGATTATAAGAGATGCCACAGTGGAGGGCTTTGGAAATTTCAACCACCTAAGGTTCTTTAACGTGCACCTAAATCTGAACACTGGGCCTACAGCATATTTGGCACTGCTCCACTGTGGGGCGCTACAATAAAACTTCTATTATCCCTAGTTCTGCCACGACCCACATTTTACGACAAATCGGTTTGGTCTCGGCAAATCCCTATAGAAATATAGTACAGTAAAACCTTGATATAACGAAGCAATTGTAGCTCCCCTTGAAATTCCCATAGATGCCCATGTGTTTAAAACCTCGTTTTAACAGAGTGAAAATCTCCTGACAATGAATATAACGAACCATTCTTCGTCTGCAATGAGTATTTACTGAACATTTTGGTACACGTCAAGTCAATATCTTAGGGTGCACGACGGTTTACGTCTTATCACAGTTGCGGCAATTCAAAACTCGCGCCTCGCGCTCCCTGAAAGCTGCCTGCGGCCTGCCAACACGCGTGTGGGACTCTGCAACTAATGGACTCGGCCGCACAGCAACTCCGCGAGCATGCGCATCAGCTGGCCTCCCCTCTCCTGTAGAACTCGTTGACCTGCCTGCGCATCTGACCTCCTTCTCCCCTCCATCTCCGTGCCGGGGCTTTGCACGCCGCCGGGGCGGCGGAGATCGTGGCATTTGTCCTTGTTGTTCACTGTGGAAGAGTAACACCACCACTGTCCAGTTTCTGCTGCTAGACACAAGATGGACAATGGCAGCAGCAAACGTAAGCACAAAAATAAACAATCGAGCAGAAGTCAGCAATGTTGAAAGCCATTGAGTCTGGCGTCAAGAAAAAAAAAGTGGCAGAAGACTTCGACGATGTCGGGTGCCGTGGGCGACCAGGCCCAGACGTCGTCAGATACTCTCCTTGACAATGGCTTTGTGCCTGACTGCGACACTTTCTGTGTCTACCTCAGTGCCGATGCTGATGCAGCGACAACGGAAGAGTTGTTAGATGAGGAAATTGTGCGGATGAAGACAAATCTGTGACATGAAAACAGTAACGAATGTGTCGACGCCCTGGAGCCTAATGTTGGCATACCCGACGACCGTGCAAGCGCTAGATTTAACAGACCTGCTGTGCTGCTTCTTTGGTGCTTACGATGACAGGGAGGACGGACTCGTAATAGCTGCTGCAGCGGAAAAAGCAGTCATCTACGTGAGGAAGAGTCGGCAAAGTCAATAATATAAAGGACTATTTTTCTTCGGAGTGATCTGCCAGCTGGTGTGCTGAATTTGGCGGAAATAAAGTGCATTGTTCTTTGTTATCTTGCTATTTTTTTGCCTTCCGACGGCCGTTTTTCTCTGCGCGGCGGACTGCTGGATATTCGTTGGTGTGTACATTCTCTCTTGCTGGCTAATTGCTGGTAGAAATGGATAGTGGCTATAACGAACTGAATGGTTATAACAAAGTAATTACGACTCCCCCTTCAACTTCGTTATAACGAGATTTGACTGTATTAAAAACCTTGATTCCACGACACATTTTCACGCAGACCCCGCATCTTATCACGACTTTCGTATTGGCCTAATAGATGGAGCAAAAAAAGCATCCTATAATTCAACATGAAGGCTCACTGCTCATATGAACGCATGCCGGTGGTTGTTTCTGGCGTATCACGGAACAATCAATCGGTTCAAAACACTGTGTGAGCTTCAAGACCTTCTTTACAATACCACTTGCCGCCTGATTCGCAACGAGTCCAAAGGTGGCTGATTTGGGTTCTGCCTATGCAGTGTGGTGCAATATCTGTTCATTTTAGCGACCAGCCGCTGATTCGCACACTGCCCAACTTGAACAATTTTATAGCTCCCTTTCGAGTTCAAATGAAGAAGCTTTTACTGCACACCGCGTTTCACATTGTACCCGGAAAAATCCTATAATTGGAGTGTTACTGCATTCCAATTCAGGCCCAGAGGAAAACACTACGCACCTGTGCAGCCGTGGTGCGCACAAGGTCCAGCTCTCCTTCAAGGGCAGCGTCCAGCAGCAGGGCCAAAGGGTCAAAGCTCACTCGCTGGGGTCCCTTCTTACGGCGACCCCCGTTGCCACCCGTGCTGCCCGAAGAGCGCAGGTTGCCTCGGGCTGCACACGATGCATGGTCAAGTTAACGTGAGACTGACGAGGCCATGAAATATTGGCTTGTGCATGCTTCTAAATGCAAAATGAGCAGTTCATGTCGGCCCATGGGGGCCCTATTTTGTACACGTTCTTTGATAAAACAAAACGAGACACCACGACAGGGCAAGAGGGAGCAGCACGGGATTGGTCGAGGCTTGTCTGACGGTCAGGCATAAAAATGGCAACCAGTAGTGGCCATGCTGTCATTAATCCCAGCACACAGAACGGACACAGGTGCCATTTTGTCCGACCGAACAGAATACGATAGCCTTCTGACAACTTGGATCGCATCAAAATGTATGCGCTGAGAGCTGGAGGATCGAATTCGTCCATTTTTGTCTGGCTTACTCCAATTCCGTGCTGATAGTTCAAGTGAGAAATAGTAGACAAGCGCTAGAATTGCAAGCTGTGTTACAAACACCAGAAAATTAAGCTCAAAAATATTGTTTTTTTCGCAGCATCTGTAAATGCACGATTAAGGGCTCGTTTTTTGTTAGACACAATATTATGAGAGCTAACAGACAATGATGCTAAGGAAAGCATATGAGATGTTCTTAGAAGTAATTGTAATGTAATTGCAAAGAAAGAAAACTGGACGAAAAGATAAGTTGCCATGGGCAAGGACTGAACCTGTGACATTCCAATAACACACCCGAAGCATCTAACTCGTTCTTCAAAGGACGCTTTCGTGAGCCGTATGTGAAAGCGCGCGGTCATGAGCGTCATCAAATGTGGTTTACCTTTTTCGCTTCTTTCTTTTCCTGACAAATTCAGTCTCAAGTCAGCGCTCGTGGTGCCACCTCCTTTCTTGTCTCTCCGTTTTTGGCGACGTAAAATTTATACCGTAATGTCATAAACCACGTCCTCTCCTTTCTTGTCTTTTCATTTTTGGTGACCTGAATTCATTCCGTAATGTCATGAAAACTCGCTCAGGCTTCTCTGCTTCTACATAAGGTTCAAAGCTTGCTTCTTATTTGATTCGTGAACTTTGAGCCAAAAACGATGGTTTCTGACTTTCATTTGGCGCCGGCATACTGAATTTAGGTAGCAATTTCAGCTTCTCCATATACCTTTAGAGTGGTGAGACTGACCTGGACGTTGCTGTGGTTCTGGCAGTGCCACTGGCTGACTTTGTGACCCGTCTGTCTCGCTCGCAGATCCTTCACCAGACACCTGCAGAGAAGAAGAGCAGCTCAGAAATTCGACTGTCATTGTTGGCACTTTGGTTGACAGAAGGTAAAGGAGATGACTGGCAGACACTGACATGGGACTTCTTGTAATGCGTCTAATACATAATAATGTGCTATCGAACCTGATTCACACGCAATTTTCACAGAATGAGAGTAGAAATGTGCCCAACCATATCATGACCAAAATTTGAAAACGAATTTACGACATGCTCCTACGATAGCTATAATAAAAAAGTACAATTTGCTTGCATAGAATGTACAGCTTTATCTTTAGGCAGTTTCTAACCTAATGTGATTCAGCTATACTGCCATGTTTTAAGATCACTTAAAGATAAGCCTTGTTTGTATGCTAATTAAATGGTCGTTACCTAGATAAGCTCAGAGTACATGAATATCCTTACGATAGTCTGAAAGCTTTCATTGTTGTTTAATTACGTTTAATTTTCAACCTGCAGAACATAGCAAGAATGTGATGTTCTTGGGTGCTGTCATGGGAGAAATCGATGTGCATTTTTGAAACTTCATTGGCAGTGCACTACTTTCGTGGTTTTATTGTTTTCAAACCGGATGCGATGACACGTCACTCCTTGCAACGTAATCGGACTTGCATTTTGATCAAGTAAATAAGTTTGTTCAACTTTGTCCAGCTTGCGATGACCTGGAATAATAAACCGGTCTGAAAAATAATTCTCACTGTAAAACACATCCTAGCTGATGGCTTAGAAACTCCAAATGTGTAATCAGGATTTGCACTGGGGCCTGGCGAGAGCACTGTCCACCATGGCAGTGTAGCGGCGCCGGTGCTTGGCTCATGGTTGCAGGCTCGATTCCAGCCGCGCTGGTCGCATTTCAATCAAGGCGAAATGGTAGAGGTCCATGTACTGTGCGATGTCAATGTACTCTAAAAAACACCAGATGGTCAAGAGTTCTACTTTGACATGCGTCATAATCACATCATTGCTTTGGGACGTGAAATCCCAGATATTATACGACGTCCAATGAGACGACGTCAGGTACGGCCATAGCAAGGTTATATTTCAATGCCGTCGTGCAAAACCAGGGCAGCCTAGCCTGCTTGACAAACGATGATGATCATTACAATCGTTTGAATACACTCAACTCTTATTATAACGAAGTTGCATATCATAGCAAAATAAGTTCGTTACATTTAAAAATTTGTTATAAAGGTTCATTCCTGACACTATGTCTATTGCAAGACAATTATTAATTTACTTTGTTATATCCAGGTACGTTATATCGAGGTTTGAGTGTATACAGATGAAGACAAAGTACATAGCGCTCACAATATTATTACTGCAGAGAGCACTGATTGAAATACACACCGTATGTTGCTGAGGCTGCTGGTCCTCTTTCACTTGCTCTTGGTCCCTGTCAGGTGCATTCCTCGTCTCTTCCTTTTCCTCCTCGCTGTCGCTGCTCTCGGGTGGACTGGGAGGAGCACCGTCCATGGCGACAGATCGTGGCTCCGAGCGGCTGCACAGGAGGGGGTGCCGCAATTGCACCATTGCACCATGCTGACAGCACCAACGCTGGCCGAATGCTGTGCTGACAAGTTTGTTGAACAGCGCACAAACTCGGTGCATTGCATTAAACACCAAGGTTAGCAGCACGCAAAACAGATTCTGCGCTGCAGGCCACAGTGATTGTCAATGTCTTTGGGTCGAGCTCAATCTGGTGTGCGGCGCTACCACCCTTACCCCGCATGCATGTCCGCTCCCCCTTTGTCTCTTCCACAACGCTCCCTCCCCTCTCGCCTCGCAACGCGACACAGGCAGGGTCTGCTAGCGACTTTCTTGATTGAAAAACCAACCTGTCGCGCTGCACAACTGTTCGCTGGCTAAAAGCGGACTGCAAGTCTCTGTGTCGAATCAGAGTCTTCTATCTCTCAACACCCATTAGCAGCGATTGGTATGTTCCAATAGAAAACACCAGTTCATCACTGCATGCTTTGTGACTCCTCAGGTTTCTCTGCAGTGCAACGCCGTGGCCAGTGTAAGTGTTAGCGCTTGCTGCTTCACATCTTCACATGGTGTAATGTTTTTGTGCTTTTCTATTTTTGTATCTGTTTTCCTGGCCTTTTTTCAGTGTTTTTTTTTTTTTAACCAATCACTCGGCTATCTATAAGGGGCTTCTTGTCAATGAAATTTCAAATGAAAATCAGCGCTTGTCCCGTCTGTTCTCTGTCCATGGTCATGTTTTTTTGGTGCTGTTAAACCTTAAGGATCCACAACCAACTAGCCCAATCAGCTACTTTATTGAAATAAATTATTAACTTGGTTTGGCTTGCGCATACTAAACAAAATTGGCTAACAGCCCAAGGAACAAGATAGACAATGCACTGAAACAGCAAAAGCTCATTAATTACAAGTGCTAAGACGACCGGGACAACAAAGGGCACAACCCTTTTGTCCCTGTAATCTTAGTGCTCTTACTTTATAAGCATAAAGCAGTACCAACTAGCTTGTCCTACCTTTTTGCAAAAAGCTCAATGATTCCTATTTTTGTGAAAAATGTCCGAATTGTTCGAATGCCAAATTATCGAAAGTGTAAATAAAACAAGAAACAAGTGCCTCTTCAATCACTGAATTTTTATTTTCTTGGTTAATATGCAAATGCATCACTTATTTTGCATAAGAGCATTGTAAAAGCAACCATTTTCATTATCCATGATTTGATTCACAACGCGACCGCAGCTCGGAGGCCTGGCATCGTAAGCCAATAATTGCTCTCATCTCATCCCTTATTATGCATCATCACCACCATAACCACTACGCATACTTGACAATACAGTCGACGTCCGATTTCCCGGACTCATCTGTGGCACCGTCAAGTTCCCCATAGAGTCAATGTATTAAGAAGTCCGAAATTCTGATTCCAGACGCTTATAGCCTTCGGCATTCGATTTCCCGAACTTTTTACAGTTAACCCCCGACCTAAAGTCACCACCGACGCCACCATTTAGGTTGCTTTCATATCCTTAACCCGCCACACTTGCATCGCAGGTATGGCCAGCAACACCGCCGCCAACCGCCACACCGCGCCCCAGCTGCCGTAAACTCGAATCCGCACGTGTCAATCCGTTGCCAGCCGTAGCTTAGCAGGTTAGCCAAGCCAAACCTCACAGTGTTCGTTCACATGTTTTGTCAGCTCTGCGGTCATGTCTACGGTTTATCGTTTGCTGCTACGGGCTATCTTAAGTGATCACTTTTCCCGACCTTCAGCATCCACAGAGTTCCTAGCTGTTTCGAGCTGCGCTTTTCACCGAGCTGTTCTTCCTGTGCCAGTTTACAGCAATGGCATCGACTGCTCCTTCGTCTTCATCCGTACCTTCGAAGTGTACAAAGCTTCCTTGTAGGCTCAAGACGGAGAAGAAAGCCGCCATCATTGAACAGGTCTAACGCGGTCGGTCGCAGGCAGAGGTTGGGAGGGAGTTCGGAATTTCGAAGCAAACTGTTTTGCACTTCATCAAGACAAAACAAGGCGAGGATCTTAGAAATGGCTGCCAAATCAACAAGGGCTGGAAAGAATGCGAGCCAGGGTGTTTATCCGAAGTTCGAGGAAGCGCTTGTCGTGTGGCTGAGTACCATGATCGCTAAGAAAGTTCCAGTGTCAGGCGACATCCTGAGGCAGAAGGCGGAGGTTTTGGGGCTTCCGATCGGTGTGAAGGACTTCAAGTTCAGCGATGGATGGCTTTGCCTCAATGACTTGAAGTTCAAGATGTGCAGGGAAAGTGGTGCCGTCGACGATTCAATTGACGCCGAATATCGGGATGGAAAGCTGCAGCCCTTGCTTCAGCAGTTTCCACCTAATGATACTTTCAAATGCGACGAGACTGGACTGCTCTACAAGCTGCTGCCAGAGAAAGCGCTTGCATTTTCTGGTGACCCCTGCCACGGTGGCAAGCACAGCAGCAAGGAGCAGCCCACTGTCCTTGTTGGCAGCAACATGTCAGGCAGCGAGAAGCTTCCATTACTAGTAATCCGCCAGTCGAAGCATCCAAGATGTTTCAAGGGGGCAGTGACTCTGCCTGTTCTCTATGAAGCTAACAAGAAGGCGTGGGTAACGCAGCAGTTATTCTAAGTGCATGTGCGCAAGCTGGACAGAAGGTTTGAGCAGCAAAATCGAAGAGTTCTGCTGTTTGTGGATAACTGTGCTGCGCATGCCCACATCAAGGACTTAAAGGCTATAACTCATTGAATATTTACAAATTACGCGTGCTCAGTCGCATGGTGTTCTGCTCCGACAACGGGAAAAGCTACGCCGTTGACCACAGGTCTGGCGTCGGCATGTTAGCAGAATGGTAGAAGGCGGTTACGCAAGAGACTCTGCGGAACTGTTTTCGCCACACAGGCTTTACACTCGACACAGAGACGGCCGTCTCGCCCCAAGTAGACAGCGTGTGCGACGAAATCCCCTCCACGGATGTTGCCTGCAACGATCTGCGTGCTGCCGACGTGTTGATTCCTTCCGGGATAACCTTTGAGGGCTTCGCCGACGCTGACAAAGACCTCAAGCTATGTGCGGACTTGACCGATGACAAAATCATTCGTTAAGTTATAGAGGATTCCGACGAATTTGACACCGAGAACGAAGAGCCACCTCTTACACAGCCAACGAGTTCAGAGCTGAGGCGAGCACTGATGAAACTGTCATCGGTGTACAGCAGCAACATGACGTTGACTGAAATTGAAGTAGACATTATCGTGGACAGGCGGAATGCCGCACACAAAAAAAAATAGACCACTTCTTTGAGCCCAAGTGCTGACCTATGAAGTAGCGCCGGCTAGGTCGGATTTTTTTTTTTTGTATAAATGGCTCTTTTCAGAGCCACCTAAACGATGCATTGGCTGAATAGCAAAGGGAATTTTGTACTCCGGCCGTTACCCTCTCCGCCAGCGAAAAATACCTACGAAAAACGTGCGCTTTTACGTGCATTCGTTTTTCCAGACTGCCCGATTTTTCGGACGTTTTCGCGGTCCCTTGAGGGCGTGGGAAATCGGACGCTGACCGTAATTCTTTTACTAGAAAAATGGCTGGCAACTGATCGTTCACCTATCACAATACAGCAAACTAGTTTTACGCCGGCATGCTGACTGTGACTAAGGCTCTTCATATTGAATGCATTTTTTTCGCCACGTTTCAGTTTTGTGGCAATGTGCGTGCATCACCCCAAGACAAAACAAAGCTACTTAATGCTACATCTGCTGTGGACCAAAGCGTGTTCACTAAAGACACCATCTTAGTGTACATGCAGTTCCAAAGGCACAGGTGTAGCCGACGTCTAGATTAGAAACGAAACTGCTGAAGACCGCATCTAGTGCTGAATAAACCTGGCTCACTGATGCCAATCGCCGATAGCAGTTATGCAGTTCTGAAGGCATATGGCAAATACGAATGCTGTTTGTAGCAGCTTTGCTTACTATCGTTATTCACACAATCATAGGCAGTTCCCACGAATGTGTCGGATGAACCTGGAAACAAACATGTTTACGGCAGCCGCTGATGCCTTGAATGCTAACAACATGATTGTGGTAGGATTCTCGATGGCAGCCATGCCTCTCTGAAGGCCCACAGCTGTTTTGGTTGTTAACAAATGCTGTTTGTAAATGTCACTATCTCTGTCTTGCATCACACTTATGCAGCCCTTTGCGCTTGGTGCACTCCGAGGACCATTCCTGTTGCAGCAAAATATGACAGAATAAATAAAGGTTTGATGCCATTAAGCCATGCACGTACTTGCCGGGATGGGCAATACGTTCGAATTATCCCATTTTCTTAAGTACTGAGCTTTCACTGTACAGACTGCGCCCATGTCTTGCCCTGAGACCAGCGGCGAAAGCTACGACAGCAACGACGGCTTCAGCTATGCCAGCCAGCTGCAATTCACCCAGCTGAATGTTAGCTTCTTGCATCCTTACGTCTGCCATTTTGATGAAAAATGTGGGGACTTTTGGCTTGGCTTTGACTAGAAAGTGGATTTTCAATGTAGTCATGCTGTTCTTCCTGTGCCAGCTTTCTTCTGACAGAAAGTATCATGTTAGGCTCGTGCGTTTATGCCCTTGTCGCCGAGTACGTGCAACGCTGGGTCTATGTCCACCTCAAAGTTAAGGAGACAAAGGCGACTAGTCGAAGACACCAAAAGGAATAGCCCACACAGCTGCAACACAAACAAACTGCTGATGTAGTGTGGTGTTCTGTTTCTAGACATTCTACATAAAGAGACCATTTTACTAACACACAGCAGAGACACCTGGCTGAGGTTCCTTTGTCCTATACTGATGCATGATTGAAGCGCAGTGTTAGGATCTCTACAGCATGAAAGAAAGACTTCAAAAAGCGGATAGAGTTTCATTAATTTCTCTGTGTCTTTCTCTCATTGCACCACTTGTGAGCAAAAATGAGCTTCTCGACTAATTCCAGTTGCTTAAAACATTTTGTCACCCCCTTCTCAGATAAATGAGTTAGCCACTTCTTTTGAGACACAAGAAATCACACCAACCACACTGATAAAGCCTGCATTTACACCAAATGCATGCGCTTCAAGCAAAGCTCAACTTACCAAATGAGCGGCGGAGAGTCGTCGGCGACTGCTTCCACCATGGCCTCCGGAGCCTATACAGATTTCAGGTTGTTAGAAGCAAAACGTGATGAAAGAGGCATTCTTATTGTAGTGGAACTTAATGAGCGCACCTGTGGAACAGAGTGCCAACAGATGCCAAGTGAACATGCCGAAAGCTATAACCACTGTCACGATGAAGCGCCTCTTAAATGTAATGTCCTGTTTTAGAAGCCGAACTTTTTTTTTTTTCACCCAACATTTCCTCATGCATGGGTGCCAATTTGAGTACCACATTACCATCGTTGTAAGCCTGACTTGAACGTGAGTTAACTGCCATAAAATCGAACTGTCACAAAACTAAAGCTCACTGAAATAGGCCAGTTCTGAAGGGATCACCCTATATAAAACGCATGCGAACAAAAAATAATGAATCTGCGATAACTCACCTGAGTCCGCCTCTTTGGCCTTCTTTTGGTCTGGAGGGCTGTTTTCCTCAGTGGCTGCAGCTGAACCCTGGTGATCAAATGCATAGCATGTACTTAGGGCAACACACACCCAGCTCAAGGTTTCAAAGATGCCACACACAGAAAAATCTGCTCTGAACTCTCGCACACCACTTTGCAGCCTCTAACTTCACCAAACACACGCTTTGGACTGAAACTACAGGTTGTTTCCCGCTGGTGTCCAAGAGATTATGAAACCTTCGGCATTACAACGTGTGACCTTACAAGATTGGAAGGTTGCGTTCGAGATTGAGTATTTGGGCATTGTTTGACACAGTTTTAATGTTGAACTCAATTACGATCAGAGTGTCAAGTTTGACTGATGTATTGGGAGAAATATAAAATAGAAGCCCACATTCAATGGGCGGCGTCCAAACTCGTACCTCAGTGCTGGTTCTTTCAAGTGAAAGCTATGAATCTCGCTATACTTTTTTTTGGTACTGCAAGCACTTCATTCAATTGATAGGGGCAATAACATGTTATGATTGCCATATTTTAGATATATCAACAAGTACAAAGAAACACTGAGACGAAGACGAGGCACAGAGGACAGGATAAGTTCCAGATATCACTGAAGAGTTTACTGCCGAAAAAACAGCAATGCCGATACTTGCAAAATTAGCTGCGCCAAATGCCTCTTTTTGCAGATTCTTGTATAAGTGCACTGTCATTTTTAGTCACCTAACCCTTTGAGATGCTTTGGAGACAATTGCGTGCATGCCTCAATTTTGATAGTTGTGTAGACTAGCAGCCAAAAAGGTGGAGAACACATTTAGAGAGAGAGAGGGAATTTATTTACAGAAAGGTAGAGAGGTCGGCCTGAGCTATAGTTTGCTCTGGCCTGCTACTCTACACTAGGGAAGGGTGACTGGGGAGTGAAAGAGTGATGAAAGAACACATTTAAGTATGGATGAATAGAAACTCCATTTAACTTCATTTTACAGTTTGCTGCAGCATATGATCAGTTTACTAAAGGCATTACCTTGTTTGGCATGCCACTTTCTACAAGAGTCAAAAGTATAACTCTTTGGTCAACTTTGCTCAGAATGAGTGTAACCTAAAACAAAATTGTGAGTAATGTCTAGCTTGAGATTCAATGTCATTCATGGAAAGATATACCATGAATGACTACATAATAAGTAGCTCAGCAGTGATACAAGAACTGGTGCAGTGAAATAACAGTTTCAGTCTTGAAGAAGACAACTCAACATGTCAAAACGCTCATTCCAACAACACCCTGTGTTCATGAATTTTAGATGCAAGGCAGCTCTTTGACTAGCCTTTGTTACGCTGTCCCATACGTCTGCACCAACCCCCTCGCCGCAGGTGTTAGAGCGGTTCCAAGTAGGTCAAGTCACAGCTGCGCGTTGACGTCACTCTCTCCCTCACCCGTAGCAGCTGCCGGCCCCCCTGCCCGATGGCAACACACTTCCCTCTTGCTTCCCGCTCTCCACCACACGCAACGCTCGACTACACGTCACGTGGAATTACTAGACAAATTTACTTTCGCAACTGCAACAGCCACACAGGCGCAGCTTGCCAACCATTCGCAATACGAGGCTGCGTCTGTACGGCTGCTGCAGAAGCGCAGCTAAATTTGTCTACTCTTTCGGCTCGTTAATCTGCGATGAAACTTACACAAAACCCAACCCACCTCCCGTGTCTTCGCAATTGAAACAAACATTTAGTTGAGTAAACGATACACCGAGTTTTGCTTCAAACTGTTCTAGCACCCGCGTAGACATCCGTTTGAACCGGGTCGATACCATGGACACTGTTGCTGCTTCTCATTCCATCAGAGTTCCTTTTACGGAGATGGTCCATAATTTTTTCATCTTTCCAGAATAAATAGATATTAACCAATTCAAAGGATAACGGTAAAAATGTGTCCCACAATTTTTTTCTTTGTTAAAAGATTCTAATGCTTGTGTGTGTCACCATCAGTACTAACATTTGTATTGCCATTTGTAAGAAACATCTAAGAAACTATAGAAAAATATTTTGCATGCTTGAAATACACAGCATAGGTTATACTTTAGATTTATTTTAAGTTGGTTTTGTAGTGTAAAATGTTTAGCGAGGAGTGCTAAATTATGTAGACTACTAAAGTTTTAGATTTATGGTGTGTTTCCCCTTTTTCAAATTTTGAGAGAGGTGACTGTAGCATGCAACTATGGAATTTTTTTTCAAAATTGGAGCAGCATATCGGCCGAAAATTGTAACTTGAATTAAACAAAAATAAAGGATTTCTTCGCTAAGCCAAGCTACATAACAGACATGCATAAATGTTCTTTTAATTTTGATAGACATTATCACGTCACAGGACTGTGCTTTATGACAGAGGAAGCCATGAAGTTCTTTTTTATCCTTTTTTAGCACTACAGCACCAGTTGCTATGAGAACAAAAGCTGTGGATACAAAATTTTTTAAATTGGGGGCCTAGAAAAAAGAACGACGAGACAGGTGCTCTAGACAGTCAAGGAGCGAAAGAGAACAAGAATAGTGTCTCAAGATCTAAGAAAAAAGCCAGTACCTCTGGTTTTAATGGAGTTCATAAAATTTTACGCAGCAGTTGTCTGTGCACTTACAGGATTCAATGCATCCAGTTACACCATACTGATGTGCCTTGCCTCGATAATAACTGCTTGGGCTTAACATCCCCAAACCCAGATATGATTATGAGAAATGGCATAGTGCAGGGCTCCAGAAATTTTGTCCACCTGGGGCTCTTCAATGTGCACCTAAATCCAAGAACACGGGCTCTCTAAGCATCTTCACTTCCATCAAAAATGCCACTGCTATGGCCAGGATTCAATCCTGCCATTGGCAGGTCAGCAATCGAGCACTATGACCGAGGGTCTCGCCTCAATTCATAGCCACAAACTACACGTGGGCAGTTACCGTATTTACACGATTGTAAGACGACGCTTTTTTTCAAATTTGACAATCCAATGTTGGGGGGGTCGTCTTAGAATCGAAATCGAACCATGTATTGTCATCTCGAATAGTTTCCCGCTCAACCCAAAGCGCATAGTTTTCCGCGTGCTTATACAAAAGCTTTTTCTTTCTTTAGCATCTACTGCGCGCATTACGAGTGCCTTTATGACGAGCGCACGGCTCTTGAGGGAGCACCGGTAATCGATGGAAGAGCCGCCGTAGGGGGGTATTGGTAGTTGACGGAAGAGCTCCTCTTTGTGATACAATTTTCTAAGCGGGCGCGTCGCCACGTGCTCCTGTCGCTTGTGTCCACGACCGGCTCTCTCGAGTCACTTCTGTCTGACATGAGTGCCGTAGGCTCGAAGAACACTCGGCGCTCGTTTACGGCAGCGTTTAAGCGGGCTGCTATTCTTCATGCGGAGGAAACCAACAACTGTGCAGCAGGACGGAAGTTCGGAATCGGTCCTCTCCGCGTGGGCGGCCGTCCCACGCGATGCCGTGGTGCGGTCGTTCGCGAAGTGTGGACTCACACTTGACGACGACGTGCTGTGGGACTGCAGCAGCAATGACGGCAGCAGCACCAGCGAGGACGACTCCAGCGACGATGAATAATCCTCCGCAACCACGTGAATTTCCCTTGTGTAAAATGCGCGCGTTCTTTTTTTTTTTTTTTTTTTTTTGAGATGCGATTTTGGGGGGGTCGTCTTACATTCGAGTCGTCTTACAATCGTGTAAATACGGTATTTAGGTGCGACTGAGCTGTTAGTCCTTACGTACATAAACCTAAGAAACACACAGACCTTAATATATTTAGTGTGTACGAAAAGTTCGAACAGAGCCACTGAGCACAGAACAATGGGTGCTGGCACAGATTGTGTACGGCATCTGGAAATAAGGACTAACAAAAATTGTTTTGCACAGTTTTTGAAATGCCTCTCTGGTCCACTTACTTTAGACCTTTTTGTGCGATAAAGTTGGCCAAGAGATCACAGCTTAATGCTCTCATGAGACAATAGGACAAGTACCGTCCCACTTTTTTCTCGCTAACTAATCGTTATATTTTGGTGAAAAATGGGAAAAATTTTATACTTCAGTTCCATGCCCCTGTTCCTAACTCTGTAAATGAAACTACTGTTCAGGGTGTGCCTACCCTGGAAGAGCCATGTTTTCATTTGTCGGGTCATCCTGATGAAATTCAATGGAAAGATTCATAACAAAGTCGTATTTAACCACAAAGATTTATGCACTTAAGTTCACTGGTTCCTAAGTTACCACTATGTGTCAGAGTAGTCCACAAATGTACCTCATGCAAGGTCTAGAAAATTTGGAAAATGGGCCAGCACTGTGGCTGATTCCTGAACGGGTGCCTTAAGGCAGGACTGAGCCCATTCTTTCTGATTTATTTCCTAAAAATTTTTAGCAGAAGTACACAAGAGTGTTACCATGCGGCACTATTACTGACTTGGCTTTGCATGCTCTGGATGCCATTATGACAATGTTTGCGAAGTTTGCCAGCTCCGCAAGAAGCCGGCGGCTCCCTGCCAAGTATCTTCAGCCTACTGACATTCCTTCGGAGCCCTTCTTCCATGTTGGTTTGGACCTTCTCAGGTCCCTTCCCAATATTTGCCTCGAGAAACAAGTGGGTCACGAATGCTACAGATTACACGACCCACTATGCAGTTACACGTGCCCTGCAAACAAGCTACGCTACAGAAGTCGCAGATTTTCTACTATGAGATCGCATTTTAGTGCACGGAGCCTCGCGTCAACTGCCGACACATCACGGCCGTGCATCCTTTTCTAAAGTGGTTGACGATATCGTGTGTTCCTGCTCCACCCAACGTAAGCTAACGACCTCTTATCATGCACAGACAAACAGGCTTACGGAACGCTTAAATAAACCCTGATGGACATACTAATGAAATACGTCTCGGCCAACCATCGTGACTGGAACCTTGCAGTACCCTACATAACATTCGCGTACAATTAAACCCGGCATCACACTACACTGTACTCGGTGTAACTGCTGACACACGATAGTATGCGGGTGAGCATCACATGAAACGTTTATTTAAACAAAACATGCCAGTTTTTTTAATTTTGAAAAGCCCGTCATGAATGACAGCCCGAAAAAAAACAGTTGACTACCCGCACAATCGGAGTCACTCGAGGACGGCGAAAAATTGTCTTGTGAAGACGGTGGAAAATTGAGGAGTATGTGTGAAGACTGACCAGAATGATGACAAACGGGGCACACAAGGAGTGCCGAAATGGAAGGCTCTGAAGCAGACAACAAGAAAACTCACACTGGAGAAACAACCAAGCCACCATGCTTAATGGAGAAAACGCAAAACTGGCATCTCACCTCCGGCTGCCTATTTGGCGGAGGAAGCGGAGGAGGAGGGGGCGGAGGCTGCAGGGGCGGAGCGGGCCGGAACTTGGTGTTGTACGGCAGTGTCTGGTACTTGGGGTCCGAGCGCGGCCGGGGCTCCACCGCGGCCACGTTGGCAGCGAGCAGGAGTGGGGGTGGGGGACCGCTTGCTCCGCAGCCACCGGGTCGCACGTTGCTGGGAGCCACCACTGTCAGCTGCTGCGCCGCGAGTTGCTGCTGTTGCTGCTGCTGCGCCAACTGCTGCTGCTGCTGGCTGTTGTGTAGGCGCTTCTTGTGCAGCCGCTGGCGCAGCTCCGCGATGCGACGATCCAGGGCCTGCACCTCCGCCTGGCGCTGAGCGAGCTGTTCTCGCTGCTGCCCCGCACGCTGGGCTCGTGCCTGGAGTGGGACAGAGGTGCGCCAGTAAGCGGATCACTTTGTCCCTACCTAAGTGGATACAGAAACCTCGATTTGATGAGCTCATGTAATACGAAATATTGGTTATTACGAAGTAACTGAAGAATGGTCTTGTGATAGATTGTGTCAGAAATGTACCTTTGAAACTAAATTTTTGGATATAAGGAAGTTTTTTTCCGTGTAAGGTGCAACTTCGTTATAACGAGATTTGAGTGACATCACTGACAAACGCAGAAGTAAGGCCATATATGACGATACAGGCCTCAAACGAAATGAAGAGACAGCAGTATGTTTTGAGTTCAATTAAAGAAAAAAAATATATTAGCTAATTTAAGCTTAAGCATGATATAAGCAATACGATTTGAGCTAATCGCCACCTAACGCTGGCACTTGAAGCAATGTATTCCCTATATCGCTTATACGGATAACTTCAACGGGGATTTGTCATCAGCATTGGAGAAACGTGTCGATACTGATATTGAGAATGCTGAAAATCTGGACATCGATTGTGGAATATAAAGATTTTGTTCCACGGTTATGTGTGAACACATGATGACCACATGGGGTGCCTCTCTCTCTCTCTCTCTCTCTCTCTCTCACACACACACACACACACACACACACACACACACACACACACACACACACGCGCGCGCGCGCGCACACACACACACACACAAAAAAAATTCTTGAGAGTAGTCCTGTCTTGACGGCTTACCAGAACAAAGTGTTAGTAATAACAATAAGAATAGTAAAGAATGTGATTGCCATTTAGCAAAGCCAGAAAGATTTCTTTTCCTTTATGAAGCTGCGAGCAACTAGAAAAGCGTATGCTGGTCATATGCAACCTGCGGGCTGCGTGTTTGAGACCTCTGGCCTAAAGGCATGCTTAAGGCAAGTAGCCTTTTGTGTCATTGCAAAAGGTCAATAGCATTTTGTGTCAGTGTGAAAACATCTCAGAAGGCAATCTTATACGCAGCAGCACATCGATAACCATGAGATTAAGGTAAATATTGGACATAATATGTGCCACCATGGGGTATTGTGGAACACAAGTACCATAACGGAAAGGAGACTCAGTACAATTATGCTACAAGTACTCAACTTAGCCATGAAAAAAAATGGAACATTTTAGTGCATCGCGAGATGAAAGAAAACGAGACTTTTACGCTTCAGTCCGATTCCTGCACGACAACTTCACGTCACTGTTGCTTCTCGGTGGGCTGATTGGTTTGGTAGCACTTTAATAAAAAAACGGTGCAAGAAAACACTGATGAAAGAGGCACGCGCGTGAGCGGCGGCGGCATAATGTATGTAGCATACAGTTGCCAATAAAATATTTGTTCAACAACCTCTTGCAGTTGTCCCTTCGTAACAATCGCTTATTCACCGAACCATACCAATCTATAATATCTAACACACCAATACCTTGAGAACAATGCAAGTTGCATTGTAACAGAACTGTGCTTTGCTAAAGGTCATAGCTCCTCTGCACCACAGTACAGGCGCATAGCGAATGTCAGAAGGCCATTCCTGAAGGTGGACGGTTATGACAGTATACGGACTACTAAAACATAATTCTGTTTGGAATTAAGTACTTCATTGCCAGGTAACATGTACAATATTTCTGGAACATTATTTAAATACAACGCACGTATACTTAAAATTTGCCTCTAGTGTTCCTTCAGCTAGTCTTCAGAGAAACAAATGGCTCTGCAATCTGGCAAAGCTGCAATCAAGGAGCCCGGCTAAGCCTAAAGTGGATGGTTGGGCATCTAGGATAAGTTTAAAGCTGGTTAAGCTTAAATTAAGACGTTTCTGGTTAGACCCAACAAATGTCGCTTACCATAAGCATCTCGTGTCGTGCCCTGTCCGTTCCACTTGTGGCAGATGTGACTCCGACACTGCCGTTGGCACCGCTCGAGTTTCGCCGCAGTTCCTCCAGCTGCCGGGTGAGCTCCTCCACCTTGGCAGGCCGCCACCGACAGCTCTTTCTCCTTGGCCGAGAACAGAGCCCGCACGGCCTCCAGCTCAGCCGCTGCATTGTCATTGTCGACAGGCCATAATGATTGTTTAGGCGAATGTATGCGAAACACAGCAGATCAGTTTTTGCAAAACGGCCGAAAGTTCATAGAATAAACAAACAAGAATCGTGTGTTCCTTTGCGAAGTGGCGCTGCAAGGAAATCGGTAAGATTTATTCCATAATATTTAGGAATGTCACAAGAAACAAAGTTCACAAGATCGTACATTTATTTTTCGATGAAAACAGAGGCAGAAACATGGAGTTTTATGCACTGCAGGGCAGCCATACCGACCATCTTTGCTTTGCTTTGTGAGCATCTTTGCATTTGCCATCATTCCTATAATTTGCTAGATACACAAATGGCAGAATGGCTACCGTAAAATCTCGAGGAAGCACACCCCTCCCTTTACCAAGAGATTTTAAATATGAGTGCCTTTCTCTACTACCATCATCTTCACCGTTTTCTTCGACTGTTTTCATTTACCCGACAATAGCAATATACAGTGAATGCATGCATAATCATTAAACCATTTCATTAGAAGTACAGGCGTGCATTTTTTATCCTAAGCAACTTTTCCATCCTCGTCTTAAATTTTGATCTGCAACATAGCAAGGGCCCCTCCACTCTCTAAATCGGAAGGGGGGGGGGGGGGGGGACTTGTTTGAGATATTACGGTAACCCCAAAAGGTGACTGGTCTAGGACTCGAATCCCAGGCTACTGATTTCTCTTCAATAAAGAAGCTCCCTTTTTAAGAGCCACATGCATCTTGAACCATGCATACAAAACCGCAAAATGGGCCTGAGTGAACTATAACCTAATGACAAGTAAGTCGCAGCAGACATTAAAAAAACTTACTCATAACCAGAAATTCATTATAAATGTATATTGATACTAATACTGCACCTCTGGGGCAAGAATATTTTTTTACTTTGTTATTATCAGCAATTTGTTATATTCATGTTCATTGTATCGAGGTAGCACACAAATGTTGCAGACAACATTGGAATGTATCTAGATTGTCAACATCAAAGACGGATGTGCACGAACCTGCACCATTGAGTGCATGTCATAAGACTGATGTCACAAGGTGACCCACTGTCGGAGAAATTTGGCAGGCACACCAGTAGGACCACTTCATCATTTGCAAAAGCAATCGATTTTCACGCTTTGTCAACTGGGTGGGCTCTTCTATGCTTTCTTAAGCTACATCAAATTACCAAATTAGGTTCATAGTACTGAATTCCAGTCTATGAATAAATGGGCAAAAAAGACTGCATTTAAGCATGTCAGCGTGTGGCATGGCAGGATGTCAAATTCATTTTATGACGACATTTCGTCAAAGCATTTAGTTCGAGAACCTACCAATAGGACTATTAAAGGCACCTACCAAGACTGGCATTTCCAGCCTGTTGCTGGTCTAGCTGAGCCCTCAGACGTCGTAGCTTCAGTTCCTTGAGGCTCGTGCGGGGCCTGCCGTAGGAACCGCAACCGCTGCTCGCGGGCCACCAGCTGCTGCTGCTGCCATGCCTAACTGTTGCTGCTGCCTCAGAGCCACTGCACGCAGCTCCGCTACACTGAGGCCCCCGGCGGCCGGCCCGTCACCAGCCGCAGGAGGTGGAAGCTGCGTCGGGTGACACCACATGGTGCTGCTTTTAGAGGTTCACAGGAAGAAGAGACACACGTACTAAAGGAGAAGATGAATGCAAAGGGCTTATAGATTGGAACACGTTAGATCAACACAATGAAATTGTGAATATTGCACTCGGCTGCTGACCTGAAGTCGCAGGTTCGATTCCTGTCATAACGGTTGCATATCAAAAGAGACGACATGATAGAGCTTTATGTACTGGGCAATGTCAGTGTATGTTGAAGAACCCCGGATGGTGGAAATGCATCCATCACAATCATATTGTCACGTGATTACGGATAGAATATGTCTGTTCACAGGAGCAGCAGCACTGGACATTGAGCCGAACCGATCAACATAAACACGAGCCTATCACCCAGTCTTCCTCTTTGTCACAATGGCACAAAAGCCCATTGGAATGCCTCAATTTCCTTCGATCCGTCTTGATGCTCAATGCCAATTAAAAGTGAAAGTAATTGCATACAGACACAAGGACGCATGATAAAGTAGTGTCAGGTGGTTCGGGGGTAGTGTGGCTTCATCGGTGACACATGAACAAGGTCCGCCTGCTGGGAACGTCGAGATCACCGAGCTATGTCTTCACGCAGGACTTCTTAGTTGACATGTTCAGGCGCCGTAATACTCTATAAGGACCGAAGCAGCAGTAAAGTAACTATTCCGAGCAGCCGCTTTGGCGAACGAGAATCCACAGCCGCACCACATCACCGGGTTGGTAAATAACATGACGATGATGAGAGTTGTACCCCAGTGAATCGATGCATTTTTGTTTTCTGATCCGCTCGAATGCAAGCAAGCTTGCGGGCCGCGTCGGCGAGTCCTATAAAGTCATTCGCATCAGTAGTAATATCAGTCATGTCAGGTAAGAGCATGTTATTCAGCATCGTAATTGCTTCTCGGCCATGAAGCGATCGGAAAGGACTGAAACCTGTAGTCTCTTGAACCGCAGTGTTGTAAGCGAACGTTACACATAGCAAAACCTCATCCCAGTATATGTGAACGTGGTCGACGTACGTAGATACCATGTCAGCAAGGATCTTGTTTAATCTGTCGGTCAGAACACCGGCTTGTCGATGGTATGCCGGTCGTTTTCTGATGAGCGGTTCCGCTAAGCCTCATGACGTCTTGCATCAGTTGGGCTGTAAAGACTGTTCTACGGTCAATGATAACAACTGCTGGCGCTCCATGGCTAAGGACGATATTGTTCATGAAAAAATACGCAATCTCATTGGCGGTGCCTCGTTGTAGAGCTTTCGTTTTACAGTACCTTGTTAAATACTCAGTAGCGATTACCATCCAGCGGTTGCCATTATGTGACTTTGGAAATAGCCTAAGCAATTCCATGCCAATTTGATTCAAACGCTTGTGATGGTGGTGCAATAGGCTTCCATAAACCACCAAGGCACATAGATGGGGCTTCATAGCGCTGGCAATGGTTACATGTTTTAGCATAATGATTGACATCCTGGGTGAGCTTTGGCCAACAGTAGTGAGTCCGATTTGGGCAACGGTACGCACGAATCATAGGTGGCCAGAGGAAGGCTCAGTCGTGGCAGGTAGATCAAATGTCAGCACATAGGTCTGATGGAACGATGAGCAAGTATTCAATCGCATAAGGTACGAAGTTTTTTTTTTTTGTAGAGGACGTCGTTGTAGAGACAAAATGACCCTGAGCATGCGAATGCCCGTGGTGGAATTAACCTAGCAAATACCTTAAAGGCTACCTGTGGTGGCCTTTAAGGTATTTGATAAGCTGTCCAAGCTCTGAATTATTCCACTGTTATTGGGTTAAGTCAGATTCATAGACCGCGCAATGAAAACGGCCATCGGTATCATCATCCCTCGATGTCGTTGCAAGGGGGGAACGGAAAGGCAATCGGCATCAGTGTGCCCGCGGCCAGACTTGTACACGACTCTTACCCCAAATTCTTGAAGGTGCAAACTCCTCCTTGCGAGGCGCCCTAAAGGGTCCTTAAAATTGGCCAGCCAACAGAGGGCACGATAATCCGTAACGACTCTGAATGAACCACCATACAGATACAGTCAGAACTTTGATATCCCCCTAATAACAGCAAGACATTCCTTCTCCGTGGTCGAGCAGTTAGTTTCCGCAGATGACAGAATGCGACTAGGATAAGTGATAGGACGCTCGGTGCCATCTTGCCACTGGACGAGCACTGCACCAAGACCAATGTTGCTTGCCTCACTGTGCAGTTCGGTGGCGGCATCTTCATCAAAGTGCCCTAGTAAGGGCTCATTCTGAAGGCGCTGTTGAAACTTGGAAAAAGTGGCTCTCTGCTCTCGACCCCATACAAAAGGAGTATCCTCCTTCGTTAAGTGGGTAAGGGGTTCAGCGACGTTAGCGAAGTTCTGCACAAAGCACAGAGACCCGAAAATCGGCACACATCCTGTTTGTTCGAAAGTGGGGGAAATGCAGCAACAGCCATTATCTTTTCTGGGTGTGGTCGAATGCCATCCGTGGCTGACAAGGTAGCCGAGGAACTTTAGTCCCTCAAGAGCGGAATCTTGGGCGAGTCTCTGGCGACTCCGGACAGTGGTCCAGGGCAGATTGTTCCGCTCTAGATACAGGTCTAGATCGAGATCCCGGACCCGAAAGGACTCTACTCGCAAGACCCCACCCCATTTCCACTCACACAAGTAACCTAAATCCGGGGCTCTAGGCTCAGCGATCAAGCAAGTGTCCGAACATGGCGAGGTGAGCTATGCACGAGTTGCTTCTTCCGCTGCTCCTATAATGGCTAATCCAGAATATCAAAAAATCATTAGCGAAAACAAACTCCTCTGTGAGAGCTTGGCAGAAATAAAACGAGAGTTGGCCTCCCTCAAAGCTAACCGCGGTACGGAATCGAGCCAAAAAACTACTTTCTAAAGCAACCGGCACATCTGGCCAGGTTACGATCGATGCCTAATTCTATGGAAGGTACTTTAAAAGAAGTACTGCAGCAACTGCAAAGCATGCAAAGCTTTCAGCAGCAAATGCTTGCCGAATTTCAGAACCTAAAAAGTTATGTCGACGAATCTATTGCCAGCATAAGGGCCGCTGTTCTTAAACGGCCTAAAAGTAGCCCGGGTGCTTCTTCTATCTGTCGTCCGAAGCAACTCCCAACGACTTGGACAGCGATAGCACTATCCATGGCGAGTAAAACACGAGCACACACCGAATATCTCGAAATTTGGCAATGGAATTGCCGCACCTTTCACAAACGTGCGGCCGCTCTACAACAATTTCTTAATACAGCGCCAGTCAAACCTGATGTCATTTGTCTACAAGAGGTTGGCAATAAACCAGTCAAATTGAGTGCCTACTACACGATATCAAATCCAGACTACCCTAATGTCGCCACGTTGGTTCTTAAGGAAGTAGCGACAAGTATAGATTATCTGGTAACAAGCAGCATTAACCACCAAATCATAAGTATACTACCGCACAAGCGTAGCAAAGCCAAAACCATAATTACGAACGTGTATAGCTCCCCTAGGGAAAAGAGGGCCGATTTTGACACACTCATTCGCTATGCCAAGAGTAATTCCAGCATCCAGGATCGACTACTGCTTCTCGGGGACTTTAATGCCCCTCACACTACCTGGCGGTACCGAAAAGACACCCCGAAAGGCCGGGAACTCGAGCGAGTTGTTGATGCGCACGGGCTCCAACTTCTCGTACTCCCACAACACCCGACAAGATTGGGTAATAGCGTCAGCAGCAGACACATTTCTTGATCTTGCATTCATAAATAATGTTGAGATGAGGTGTTCTGGAACAGCCTAAAAGAGAATCTCGGCAGTGACCATTATATTTTGAGCATGTCGATTGACTCCCTCGAAATTCGGCAGTCTCATGGCCATGTTGTATTAACAGATTGGGTAACTTATCGTAAAGTCCCACTGCCCGAAATTTTACCGGATAGCGCTAAAGATTGGGCAACGCACATACGAGAGGCTCACAAAGCAACTTCTAAGCAGGTTGCACTTACAGCGGAAACCCCGGTAGTCGATAGCCATCTGATACATATGTGGGAATCCAGGACAGAGCTCACCAAGCGATGGAAACAACAGCGACTGAATAGAAAATTGCGCCACAGAATTGCTGAGATATCTGAGTGGGCAAACGCTTACGCGCAGCAGTTGGAGACGGCGAGCTGGGCGAATTTTCGCGACTCACTCCAAGAACCTTACACACGTCCGAGACATGGGCAATACTGCGTAGCATAATGGAACCTGGCAAAACCAAAACTGGCAGCAAACCGAACTCTTAAGAAGCTCGCTGGGGAATTCCCAGGAATAGATGACACCCTCCTCGCTAAGCTCCGAGACAAGTACATAGGCGCGTTCACAACTCCCCCGTGCACTTTAGCATATCAAGGCCAGGAAAACGTCGTGCTCGAACGCACCGATCACCAAGGCAGAACTATTCACGGCCGCGCAAGCAGCAAAGCGCAATACTGCCCCCTGTACCTGACCAGTTAACAAACGCGATGATTCGGAATCTGAGCGATGAACACCTGGAAACAACCTACTCTAGTATTTTAATGAACAGGTATGGCAGAAGGGTGTGGTTCCTCAACATTAGAAGGAAGCCAAAATTATTCTTATTCCGAAGCCAGAAAAAACACCCGACCTAGAAAATCTAAGACCAATATCATTAACATCCTGTCTTAGCAAATTATTCGAAAAGGTGATTCACACATGCCTCACGACTTACATTGAAGATCGGAACCTTTTTCCAACAAGCATGTCTGGATTTCACCAACATTTGTCAACGCAGGACGTCTTCCTTCTACTTCGGGAAGAGGTACTCTGCAATACCACTGTTGGTGCAGAACATCTTGTCGTAGTTCTTAATTTGAAAAGCGCATTTGACACTATGTCCCATGAGGTCATCTTATCTCAGCTAAATGACATCGGCTGTGGGCAAAAGATATATGACTACGTTCGCTCTTTTCTAACCTCTCGCA